CTTAGGCATTGAATTCTGAGGCCATTGCTGTATAAAACTGACCGTTCGAGATAATTGATCAAAAGATTTTCAGAGGCAGAATGTCGAAAATCAGATGTCAAAATCTGAATATCGAGATCTGGGATTTCGATAAAGGAGGCCCGGTTTCGAGATTTGATATCGAGATTAGGATGTCGAGTTTGAAATCTCGAGATTTCAAATGTCGAGAAGTAAATCTCGAGATTTGAGATGTCGAGAAGTTAAACTCGAAATATTATTTCGAGAAGTCAAATGTCGAGACCAGATGTCGAGACCTTAAAATCGAAATCTTGATCTCGAGATTTAGATGTCGAAATCCTCAATGTCGAAATCCTGCAAACTGTAAAAATCAGATAAGTAAAATCTGAAGGTAGTTTCTTGTAGAGTATGATGTCGAGATCCTCAGGTAAAGTTTTCAGCTCGAAAACTTGGCAGAACCTGTTTAAAACCTAGATGTCGACATATGCTACTCGAAATATCTCAAGTACAGAAATTGCAGAAAACAAAATCTGAAGTATACCCCTTGATCGCTTCGAAACGACGATTCTAAGGGTGTAACTTTTACAACTTTTTAACAAGAAACAAGATTACAGACAAAGAACTCGACAGAACAAAAAAAACGTGAAAAACAGAAGTTTTCTTCGGGCGTTCTTCTGATCGGCTCTCGATCGGCTCTGATACCAATTGATAGTCCCTGTTTCTGTAACAACAATGAATAGCAGTATAACAAAGAAGATTAACCTAATAGATGAACACAGATGAATCGATGTAAAACCCTCTTTGATATACCGTGAACTCGTACACATAATGATTTGCGCTAAGGCTATTCTGAATAAGTACGAAAGTTAACCTAATCCTGAATCCTCGGCTCCCTTTTTATAGACGAGGTTCAGGTAGGCGTGAAAGGCTTTTAGCCTGTTGTATGTGCCTAACACTTGGCCCATATTCTATCTAATAAATGCACATATTTAATACAAGGAATAATAATAAAGCTAATCTATTACAAGATAGATGACAAACTTGATTCACAATTAAATTATCTTCAACACCATCACACTCCATCCCTCAACTTGGCAATTACGTGAGATGCCCCCCCCCCCCCCCCCTCATGTGGGAGGTCATCCATTTAAGTCCCAAAGTGTACAACCGGTCCCGAAAGTTGTATTTTTCGTATTGTTTTAATTAAATTTTATTTTATCGGGCCAAATAAAATATATATCATTCTTCCGATTAATATTGGCCCCTAGAATGAATATATATTATTCAACTTTAATTTCGTGGTTCTCGGAACTTATTTCGGGTTGTTATCTGTTAAATTACCAATACCGATAATGGGACCGCTTTTGATCAAACGGTCGACTCTATGGCTAAACATAAATATAAACCATCATATAAATATCATCTAGACCAAGATGAATATAATATGTGATCTCGGAAATATTGGATGGCCCCGCTCATGCGTAGGCCCAACGTGCAATTTACTGTTCAAGTAACAGTAAAAAATGAGGACGCGTCATCTCGTAAATCCATTAGTCATTTCTCGTGACTCAATATGTGTTTTGATATTTTGTGACACTTTAATAAAATGTTACACTTCTTTTTAAGTGGTCCAAAATGTATGAACAGATAAAATCTTATCTGTTTGTCCTCATACACAAATATCTTCAAAGTAGGGTCCTCCAAAAATACCCTCCTCCGTTCATGTACCAAATTAATTATATATTTATCATCCCATTATTTTGGGTTCTTAAAATATTTATATTTATTCTTTCATTAATTCATAGTCTTCCGAATTATTAACACTTTGTGAATTAAGAGTTCACAATTATCGATTAGTGGCCCCGACCCACGTGGCCGTCTAGTTGTCATTCTATATATCACTGGGGTCCACGACCCATTCCTACTATCAAAATAGTATTGTTTAGATCAACATTAATTTTCTTATACGCTAAGAATACCACGGGTGGTCCCTTCTCCCGATGTGGGTCCCGCATCTGATTAATAATCCTTTATTAATTTAAGACAAGAATTTTATCTTTCTCATTTATCAAGGCTACTCTAGTCTTTATTTACCTTCGTTAACCCTGTACTTGATGAAAAAAAAATCTCTGGCTAAAATTCGGGTCCGGTGTTACTAATGCACTCACTGTCATTCGAGACATCGGAAGTGGTGGACTCGTGTTGGGATATTGGCCCGGAAGCCCAATACCCGGATTAAAGGCCCAGGATATACCAGCCCAAACAACGAGTCCACTACCCTATGATAAGTAGGCCCAGTGAGATATTCATACCGAACGAGGTTCGGGCCAAGTAAAGGCTGGCCCAGAAAACAGACATACCGAACGAGGTTCGGGTCATACATCATACTTTGGCCAAATCAACAATGTTTTACAGGGTCCATTATCCCGTTCGGGCAACGGACAACCAGCAAGTGGCCAGGTGCAATTAATGCCAGATTGCGACATCAGCAAGTGGAGGCATGAGTGATCAGGTCGGTGGAACATCGACAATCAGCATAAAGCATCCCATACTCTCCATTGGTATAAATAGAAGGTTTAATATCATTGTAAGGGTTAGCATTTTAATACTCAAACCCTAGAATAGCCTTATTGCTCTTGTTTCTTGTATTAAGCATCAATCTGACGTGCCGTTCGGATTATTTCCTTGTAATCAAACAGGGTAATTAATACAAGTGGGTTTTTGAGCAGTTGATTATCCATCTTTTATATTTCTTTTACACATCGAATTATCGTCCATTTCCTGATATATCTAAAGTCCGTGTTGGGCTTTCGGATCTATGGGATTAAACCCCAACAAGTTGATTCATACTACCACTCATTTTCATATATTAATACTTGTGTAAAATTTCAAACTTCACGCAGCTGATTCAATTAGCGGTCGTAGAAGAGGTTATCGAAGAAGAAGTTTAGCGAAGAGAACGAGGGTTAAAAAAGAAAAAGGGGCGATACATATGTCTGAACCTCTCTACGGTAAAGAGTTTTGAATTTGGGCTGAACTATTAAGTTAAAAATGGTCTAGACGAATAAGTCATGTTTTAAAATAAGTTCTAAGTGAACAAAGGGGGTAAATGAATGGTAGACACACAAAATATTCCAAAAAGGAAAATGAGAACTATTTTTTGGGATGACCCAAAAAAGAAATCATGAACTATTTTCCGGGACAAAGGGGGTACTACTATGTTTTATCCAAACTCAGGTAGGACTTTTTCATGCCTAGACTTTAGAAGCTGTTCTCTTCGTTTGATCTGAATGTTTCTGATCTGAATTTTTTAAGATCTGATCAGATCTGATCTGAATTTTTCTGATCTAATCTGATCTGATCTGAATCTTTCTGATCTGATCTGATTTTTTTTGATCTGATCTGATATGATCTTAACTTTCTAAACCGGTATATAATAATATTAATACTAATAATAATATCAATAAGGAAAAATTGATTGTAATAATCCCAACTATTGGCGGTCCGCTCATAATAATCCCATTATTATAATTAATGGCCCATGACCATTAATTTTTCCTATCAATAATTATAATAAATTAATAATAATAATAATAACTATTATTATTATAATTATAATTATTTGATAATAATAAAATAATAATAATAATAAAATAATAATAATATTAATAATAGTAATAATAATAATAAGAATAATAATAATACTAATAATAATAAGGTAAAATTGATTGTAATAATCCCAACTATTGGTGGTCCGCTCATAATAATCCCAACTATCGATTATTTCAGAATAATCTCAATTTTAGGGACCTTCCGCCAATAATGGTCCGACGTGACCGAAGATAAATAAATTTCTATAGTTTGTAAAGAGATATAGCAGGTAATCCCTATAAATAATCCCAAATTTTAATTTTTACGCTTAGTTTATATTAAAAATTCACTTGTTAGAGCAGGTAATATGCGGTCATGGGCCATTATTGACGGACGGTCCATATAGCCGGGATTATACAAAAATAATCAATAGTTGAGATTATTGTTAGCGGACCGACAATAGTTGAGATTATTATTTTCAATTTTTCCTAATAATAATAATAATAATAATAATAATAATAATATAATCGATAATAATAGAATGTTTCCAATTTGCTATGAATGTTTCTGATCTGAATGTTTCTGATATGATCTTATCTGATTTGATCTGAATGCTTCTGATCTGAATGCTTCTGATCTGATCTGATCTGAATGTTTCCTGAATGTTTCTGATCTGATCTCATTTGATTTGAATGTTTCTGATCTGATCTGATCTGGTCTAATATGAATCTTTCTGATCTGATCTGATCTGATCTGAATTTTTCTGATCTGATCTGAATAAAATAAGAACAAACAATAAGTAATAAGAATAAGACGAACACCATCTCCATTTTGTGATTATTTTTGTTCATTCAATTTTTTTACTTTATTTTAAAATAATGAAGTTTGTGATTAACCTATTTTTTTTTTAAAAAGATGAGACCCCATTGCTGAGGATCCTCCGACCAGTTGGTAGGATGTAAATTGGATTATAATTTACGTCCCAGAATTATTTTCATATTTTCCTTTTCGTTCTGTTCCAAATTTATCTCTCCTTTCCCTTTTTAGTAAGGAATTTATGGTTCACAACCATTCTTACACATTTCTCTTTCCTCTGCACAACTCTCCACCTTACATTTCTCGCTATCTTAACATGTGTGCCAATTATACTTGAAGATAAATATGGGAGGGAGGGAGTATACTTTAGGGATAATTTGAGTTTGCACCCCACTTATTTGTCTAAATTGGACTTTGCACCATGTTTTTAAAAATCTTTGTTTTTGTGCCCTAACCCCATGTGAAAAGACAAAAATGTCCTCGTTCAGTTGATGGTCAATAAAATTGTTAATGGAGGGGCATTTTTGTCTTTTCAAATGAGGTTGGGGTGCAAAAACAAATATTTTTAAAAGCTGTTGCAAAGAACCCCTTCTGAAAGGTAACGTAACCAAAGGTAACTTTAATGTCAATTGGCACTGATAGCAGAATAGAATCTTCCTCAAACCGCAATCTTCCTCCCGTCAGTTCGTCTTCAGCTCCTGGTGGGGTGCACATCATATTTCGTTAATTGCAGGCGCCAAGCAGCAGGTTCGTTCTTGATGTTTGTCTGTTTGAATTTCTTTTTCAGTTTAACGCTTCAGAATTGAGATCTATCACTTCTGGTTTAGCACTCCAGGAATCAGATTTAGCTTCTCAGTTTTCTGTTCTGGCAGTGCATTCAAGTTCTTAAATTTTCCTTCTTATCTTTTGTTTTACCTTTCTGGTTTAGTGCTTAGTAGAGTCATGATTACTTAAAATTTTTCAGATTAGTGCGCCGTAATCGTTTTTCCTGCTAGCACAAAATTTAATAGTTGTGTTATTATAATGTAATTAGAAATCATGCTTTATTAAGATCGGCCTGTAGAGAATTTTGGTATAAGGATTTTAGGGGTTATTTGTTAATTAGGTAGTTTGATGGTTATGCTATTATTATTTTTATTGAAATGCTTGAAGTGTTCAATGGTTAGTTGTATGGGTTTGTGTGTTGAATTGTTGATGGATTTTTGCAATTTGTTAATTTGTAGTTTGGTTCAGTTATGAATTAAGTAATAATACACATACAAAAGAGCATATAGACTTGAAGAGTTGAAGATGTTTCTAACCATTATAGTCCAAGACTAGGAGTATTCTGGAGTGTGCTTCCACAAACCGTATGAACAATGATATTTTACGTGACTGCTTAGCACCATAGTTTGAAAACGATATATTTGAAAGTGTATCGAATGAGAAGATATACAACAACTTCAAATCTTGAGAGAATGTTGACAATTGTTACGTCATACTGTGACATAAGGATTGATGATCCTTTAAAACTTTTTATGCTTTTAAATTCAACATTTTTCTTAGAACCACTTTGATATTAGTTTTTTATATATATCATATGTTGTTGATTTTTTACCATCATGTATCAAATCCCAGGCTCTGCCATTGCCTACCTCCTATCCCAGTTGACTCACCTCTCCGGCTCTTTCCTTTTCTGTGTTGTTGATCTCCTATCAGGCCATCATAGCTCCTTCTCCATATTCTGTTTCCAAATTCCCATTCTTCTCTATGCATCTAATCATTTTAGCAACATCTGCAGGCTTATTTGTGCGAAAATGAATTTTCTGTTGATGCGGTCAAATCAGGCTGTATCTCCAGAACCATCTCCCCCTCAGGAAGTTCAGGCAGAGATCAGTTCTGTATCAAAATTGAGTACTGGCTTGGAGGGTCCAATTGCAGAAGATTCATTTCAGCAGGCCACTTATTCTGAAGACTGCGATGTAGATGATTGTGAACATGCTAGTGCAATTGAAGATGCTGGCTTAAGTGGAAAGGGAAACCACATTGAGGTTTCTGAAGATGAAGGATGGATAGCTATTCCAAAGCGTATTCTCTTGTTGCCTTTCATTGTCTTTGTAGAACTCTGTTTTGCATACTATTGGGTGATGTTTCATTTTCAGATCCATGCAAAATCTCCTCCCTTGTTTTTACAAATGCGGTATTAGTCTCAAATAAAGAATTATTAACAAAAGTATAAATGTGAAGCCTTCATTGTCCTTAAAAGTATTATTGGTTCATTCTGTTAACGTGATGAACAACGTAACTGTCTTCATTATTTGAATGGCTTAATGCTTATAGATTATTATTTCTCCATTCATTCATCTCCCTGCCCCAATTAAAGGAAGACAATGAGTTCAATATGATTTCATTGTCCAAAAGTGCCCCTTCGTAAAAGTGAATTATGCTGATTCTAGATATGCAAACTAGTACGGTGACAAACAACAACAATACCTGAACTTCATCCCAACTCATAGGGTTAGCTATATGAACCAAGATAACTTCTGATACACTTCACCAAATTCATCTCCCGAGTTTTTGCCAGGCATCATGTGCTCTTGAATTCCTAAAGCTCTTTTGTCTTTTTTCATACCTTCAGCTCATGTCATTCTAAGTCTCCCATTTCAACCACCCTTCACACTGGAGCTCTTACCTTCCATAGAAAGTGTACCCCAACCAACATAGTTGTTTTCCCCTTTTCCTAAGTGCGTGTCCACATTTCCTACTTTATGTGTCATAAATTATACAAATTCTTGTGTTGTACTTTCATATACAAAGCATTCAATTTGACACTCTGATGTGACTGATCACTGGTAGTGTTTTGAAAAATGAATTCGGAAACAATAAATAAAAAGTTTTAGAAGCTACATTTAATTCTATGATTGCAGACTACTCATCATCTCTTTTCATGCATTTCACATGGACCACTGTCTTTGTAGGGCACTAGGGCCATATCCCATTTACATGCTTAATATTTTCTTTGTCTCCATGTTTTGAATGTATGTGGTGTAACTTGTTAAACATCTTAATTGTTATTACTTTCATAACTTGGAAACGAGACTCATTTTCTATGAAGCATTACTAAAGTGTAATACTCCTTTCCAGAAGAGATTCCTGATAATTGGAGTGAGGCACCTGATATATCTTCTTTACGCTCACTGGACCGCTCATTCGTTTTTCCTGGTATCTACTTTTGTATCTTACCTTTCCATCCTTTTTTCCAAGGTGTTTTACTTTTTTTAAAATTTGCGTGTGTAATAATTATTGGCTCGTCACAGGTGAACAGGTCAATATACTTGCATGCTTGTCAGCGTGTAAGAAGGATACAGAAATCATCACACCATTCAAACTTGCTGCCCTTATGAATAAAAATGGGGTTGGTCAAAACATCAAGGAAGGAAATGGACACACAGCTACAGTGATTAATAGTCCTGTCTCTAATGGAAGAGAACTAAATGATGGTGAATATATGAATCAAAATGGCATCTCAGAGCAGGGAAAACATGATCCTAAAAGTGAAGTGTCTTCTGGTGAATCTCTTTTGAGACTAGAGGAGCATAAAAGACAGACAGAATCCTTGCTACTAACAATGAAAAATTCTCACTTCTTTGCTCGAATCGCTGAATCAGATGAAAAATTATGGACAAAAAGGAAAAACAAGGAAGACACATCTGAGATGGTTGGAGAAAAGTTGAAAAAATTCTCTCCTAGCACCGCAATTGAGAGGGGGGATTTTGATGCCATCACGTCAGGGGGGGTGGCAAGAAAAGCTGCCAAGTGCTGTGCCCTTCCAAATGGCGATATAGTGGTATGCATCGAATCAATTTTATTATTACATCCAAACATTCATCTCTGCTCAATAATAGTTACCACTGACCAGTATAAGTGTGTATGCTTAATTGTGAGACTGAAGAAATCATTTGTAGCTGAACTCATTGTGCATCATGCCACCATATTATACCTTAAGTATATTATTATGTTGTTGGTCAATCTTAATATTTTCTCCATTGATGATATTTTTGGGTTAAATGTTATTCTTTCCTGCAAGAGTAGTGTTTTTTTCTTGGTTCTTGTATTTTTTTCATCATTACAATTTACGCTCTTTTATTTCTAGTCCTTGCCTGCTCTTGTTCAACCTTTGTTAAAAGAAGTACTTGGCTCATAAAACATCAGTCTTCCTCTTCCATGTCATCACGATTTAAAAAATACTTGATACTCTCTCCTTCCCCTTTTTATCTCCCTACTTTCCTTTTGAGCTGTCCTTAAATAATCTTATGTTTCCCTTTTGAATATAACATGTGTGGTTCATATTCTTCCCATCCTTTCAACATAAATCGCAGCCATGCTTTTTTTTTTTCAATTCTTTCTAAGTTAATCTTAAACATTAAAAGGGGATAGAGAGAGTTTTTTTGTTTACAGCGAGCAGAGAGTCAGAGAGGCATAAATTGAAACTGGAAAATGTGAGTTTGGCTTAGCCCCAACTCACCTAATACTCTGAAAATATATAGAAAGCTGACTTGGAATGGCTAGGCTTGAGATTGTAAGCCACATGTTTTGTAAGTCGATAGACAACTGATGTGTTTCAATGTTCTTATCTGGAAGGATGCAGGTATGTTTACAGGTAAATATTGGTGTTGATTTTTTCAGAGATCCAATACTGGAAATTCTTCAGTTTGAGAAAACAAAGGAGAGACATTTACCATCTGCGAGTTGGGAAAATCCAACATACACAGGCCAAGATCCTTGCCATGAGCTTTTGAAGTGGGTGCTTCCTTTGGATAATAACATTCTTCCTCCAGCCCATCCTCCTTCCCCTCCTCAATTAAGTTCTACCACTTCTATTCGCACGTCATCCTCAAGACTCACTTCATCACCAGCATCTGGTTCACAGCTTTTCTCTTTTGGGAACTTTAGAAGTTATTCCATGTCCTCGCTTCCACCAAATAGTGTGCAGCCATTATCTGCCTCAAACCCCAATTCCATACCCAATTTTGATCCAGAAGATTGGGGACAGTTTTCATTTCAAAAGGCAATGAAGAGCGAAAATAGCGGAAATGAAGGGCTTTTATCTTTTCGAGGTGTATCATTGGAGCCGGAAAGATTTTCGGCTCATTGTGGTCTGGAAGGTATTTTTATGCCAGGAAGGAAATGGAGTAGGAAAGTGGAAATCATTCAACCACTAGAAGTCAAGACTTATTCTGCTAATTGCAATACAGACGATCTGATTTGTGTTCAAATAAAGGTGAAGTCTTTTCTCTAACTCATTTTTGGGTTCAGTCGACTGCCCGTCATAATATTCTTTTCCCCTCTTACACATTCAGGATATCTTGTGGAAGTTGTACATGAAAGATGATGTTATTTAATATACTCTTTATAACTTATTAAAATGCTATGATGAATTTTGCAGAATATTGTTCCAGAGCATACACCAGATGTTGTTTTATACTTAGATGCCATAGCAATTGTTTTTGAAGAAGCATCACAAAGTGGGCCTCCTTTATCATTACCCATTGCATGCATTGAGGCTGGGAATGATCATTGTTTACCAAATTTGACCCTCAGGTTTTTCTACTATAGAAGGCTGGAACCATCATTTTTAATATTTTAGTCTGAACACTTGTTTTTTTTACGTCTTTAGCATATCTGCAGTATTTGACTATTTATTAGTAGATCAGGTTGGCATTTTATACACATAGTTTACTTAAGGGTGCACATGTGATTGTTCCAGTGTTCCATGAAAGAATTATTAACAAAAGTATAAATGTGAATTTTCATGTTTAACTGCTATGATCTCAATTTATAAAAATAGTAATTTAATACTACATACTAAATTGCCAAAAGAAGCCCTTCAATAGGTTTGAATTTTACAGTTTAGCAAAATTTGATGTCAATGCATTGAATACAACTCTGAGCTGATATGGTTCTCAAAGTTTAAAACTTGACCAATTAGTATCTGATTGGTTGTAGTAATCAGACTGGTAACGATTAGGTGTACTCTTGGCAGGCGGGGTGAGGAACACTCTTTTATTCTCAAACCAGCATCTAGCTATTGGAAAAACTCCGAGGGACACAGTGAGAAAAGTTCATGCTTATCACATATGAAAACCAAAAAAATAACATCATCACATAACTCCTCAAATATAATAGGAAAAAGTACTGCTTCAACAACTGATAAGTATGCTATCCTCGTATCATGTGGATGCAATTATACAGGTATAGACTTTTTGATTGCACCCTGTTCTTCAATACCGTTTCTGATTTACTATCGAGTATATAGTAAAGATTTTTTAATATGCTTTTGTCTGGGTGCTATTTGTAGAGTCGAAGTTGTTCTTCAAACAGCCCACAAGCTGGCGACCACGCATCTCCAGGGATTTGATGATATCTGTTGCATCAGAAATGTCAAAACAAACTCTTGTTTCTGATGAATGTGGGGCTCAGCTTCCAGTACAGGTTTATACAATGCTTGGTTTGGATAAAATGAGAAATAGGTAGGAAAGTTGGAATGAAAAAAGTTGGAGTGAAGAGAAATACTCCCTTCGTCCCGCTAAGAATCTAAGATTGTCCCATCTTTCCTTTTCGGTCCGTCCTACTAAGATTGTCCCGTACCAAGTTTGGTAAATTTTTTGTTGGTCTAAATCATTCTTACTTAATAAATTTAACATCAACCACATAAACTCACTTTTCCTAATAAACGCGCCACATCCTCATGCCCCAATGCTAGTGAGAGGGAGGTAGTATATTTTTAGTGTGTTTTGGATGGAGACAATTAGGAAAGAAATATAAAATTTGATTTTTCTTGTAAAGAAATATTTAGCCCTACTAGATGACTTGATATAGATAGATTAATCTAGAATAAAAATGTAAGGTCAAAACTGTAGCTTTTCCAAAATTGCTTTCTTTCAAACCTTGAGATTGATCTCCATTATTGAAGGGACTTTGGGTGGGTGCCACATGAAAATTTCTCTTTTCACTTATTTCTCATTCCATTTGAACCACAAAAGATTTTATTTTCTATGCATCCCCTTTCTTCCGTACTTTTCTCCTTCCGAAAATCATAGTAAATCACAATGAGTGAATCTGGAATTGGCCTGTTTTTATACTTTGTAAAAGATAAGTTTCATCTCCTAATAGGGGCTCAACTTTACAGGTCCTAACTCTCCAAGCCTCAAATTTGACTTCTGAGGATTTGACTATGACAGTGATGGCCCCAGCCTCGTTTACTTCACCACCTTCTGTGTTGTCATTGAGTTCTTCACCAACATCACCACTGAGCTCCTTTCTTGGCTCTTCTGACTTCACAGAAAGACTGAACAATGAGAAGGCAGCTTCCCTACCTGATGTCCTTCCAAGTAATGATCTGGGCTGCACACATCTATGGTTGCAGAGTAAGGTTCCCTTAGGGTAAGTGTTTTTTTTATTGAGCATATCATCAATGCTTCATTTCCATGTATACCTCTAATGTTATAATTGAGATACAACTAGTCTCTCCCTCCCTCGTAAAATCGTTGTTTAACAATTAACATAATGTTTTATCAGAGCATTGTAAGGAATAGAGGCTATAGAATGTCGAGAATGTCCCTCCTAAACCCTAATATTTCATGGTATAACGGAAAATACTAATTCTATTTTAGAGACTAAATTACAAAAAAATTGAAAGATGTGCCCAAGATTACATGATGATAAACAATCATGGGACTATGAGATTGAAAGTGCAGGTATCCCCCTTTTTAACCAAGTTTAAGACCGCCACAACTTTCTGGATTTCAGATGTGTGCCTTCTCAATCCACCGCCACAGTCAAACTTGAAGTGCTTCCCTTGACAGATGGCATCATCACACTTGATTCCTTCCAGATTGGTGTAAAGGAGAAAGGTATGCCCTGTGCTTATTACGAGGTCAATATTCAAACACAGAAATACTTTTATTTCTGAAATGATGCGGAACAGCATATACATCCATGTTCTGCATAAAAAAGAAGAAGATAGAACGACAGTGTATGAGTCCATTGTTGGGATTTTGTTGAGGGCCTGAAAACTCCTTTAGTTTTTACAACATTGAAATAGTTGCTCCTATAAAATGGTAACTAATACCCTAAAATAAATAAAATAACAAATTCTTGGATTTACAATAGACTCTTGTTTCACCCATTGTTTGCAATTGCGCAATGCCATAGCGCCATATGGCGCGCCTCAGCTATTTCTATGGTCATTGCGTAAAATTGCATTGCATATTGCGTATAGGCTTGAAGCTTACGTTTTTAACGTTAAGGCGTACGCAATAAAACGTAAGCCATGAGGCGTACGTATGGCGTACGATTAACTGTGTGAAGTTTAATTTTTTTTGGCCCGCTGGGCCCACTTTTTAGTAAAACAGATGCGATTATATGGTTCAGTATATACGCAATAACCTGCTGCTTCTTCCCAGCATACATTTAACCTTCTCTTTCCAGCACCTTCTTCCTGCTTGGGTGATTATTCAGCCTTCATATGTCGGCCAATCTTCTTGTACAGTTGTACGCTACTGCGTAGTTTTCTATTGTCGGCCAATCTGCTTGATGCTTAGTTTTTGTTTTTATTGAATTAAATACAAAATACAGAGTATTAATGTTAATTTTCTGCCTATTAATATTTTATTATTATCCTTTGATTAAGTTGCAACATATCTACTCTATTTGAATGCTTAATTTTTGTTTCTATTCAATTAAATACTAAATATTAAAGTTAATTTTCTGCCTATTAATATTTTATTATTATCCTTCCATTAAGTTTCAACTTATCAATATGTTTTTTCAGTTATAATATTGAACGATAACTTCAACTTCGATTTAATATTAATACTAAATTTTCTGTTTATTATTATATTTGCTGATTTATGTTGAATAATGATGTTTGTTTTTATTATATATATATTTATTTATATTTACGCCTCAGTTATACGCCTCATTGCGCAATGAGGCTTACGCAATATGCAATTCTAAAAATTCGCCACGATTACATTGGTTAATTCTAAAAATTAACCAATGTAAGTATTTAAATTTCATTATTAGCTAGAAACACTTGAAATCATAAAGTTTAGCTGTACCTTGGAATTCATTTGTTGGTTGAACAACAAATATACTAATATAGAATTATAATTTATAAATTAGCTTCTTTTATTCAAGTAGAACTCTTTTTCGAAACAAAAATAAGCTTTCAAAGAGACTTCTGAGACTTTTTCTTGGATAGGACTAATAATTTCTGGATAAAGAGCTCGTTTGGTAAGAGTTAACTGGATGAAATAGCTAATATGCTGGATCTTTTAAAGGGTGAACAAACATTTGTGAACTTCTATTTCAACCAAATAAGTGAAAAGCTACTTATTCGGCTTGTTTTGTTCATAAGTAGAATAAGTCAATTATCTCTACCAAACCGGTTCTAAATATGTGCATAGCAAACTTTATGCAATTGTAATATAAATCACAGATCCCTAAATATGAATAGTAAAGATTTCTCTTGTGGAAAACTGAATGTGAAAGAGATGCTTTGCCATGGCAGGTCTCACCTATATACCTGAGCAGTCTTTGAAGATATATGCAACTTCAAGCATTTCCACTGCTATGAGGTGATTTTTCCACGTTGACTACTAGTTATTTGATCAATAGATAGAAGTTTATATGTTATTATAGACCACCCCATGACATTGGTGTAATGTAATATTTAGTTGTATTTTTATTTGATGATTTAAATTCCAACTGATATTAGGCTACGGCTTTGTGGTCTTCAGAATATAATTAGTACCTTTGATAACTCAATGCTCCCCTTGCATTGATACAAATAGTCATTCAAGACTATCCCTTATTGAAGCTTGGATATATTCAAATTATGGATTTTGTTGGGTTACTCAACTCGGTGACCCTAGAGCCCATTCAAATTAAAAACAGAATTTCATCAATTGAATAGTTCAACCAATATCTTACAAAGACGTCTGTTCCTACCTAATATTTTGACATAGCACAAGAAGTAGGTGAATAAAACAATGATGGCGCAATAAAAACCAAGCAAACAAAGCAAAATGCATTGTGTCGCTAAAAGTGTTGTATGAATTCTAGGGATGGACTCGGGTCCGGGCCGGGTCCGGGTCGGGCCTAGGCCCGGGCGGGCCGGCGGTTCAAGAATAGTGGACCCGGGACTGGCCCGGGTAGCCACCGGGTCCGGTCCGGGTCCGGGCCGGGCCGGGCCTCCGGTTTGGATTTTTTTTTTTTTGCTTTCCTAACCCCCCCCCCCCCTCACCCCCACCCTCCCAAACCCCCCCAAACCCATCCTACCCATCAAGCCCAACCCGGGTGGAACCCCAAAAATGAAAATAAAAATAAAAAAAATCAATTTGGCCCGGGCCCGGGCCCGGGCCCGACCCGGCCGGGCCGGTTCACCAAAATTGAGACCCGAGCCCGGACCCGCCCTACCCCCCGGGCCTAGGCCCGCCCTACCCCCCGGGCCTAGGCCCGACCCGGACCCGAGAACCGGGCCGGGCCGGTCCACGGGCCGGGTGGCCCGACCCGAGTCCAACCATAATGAATTCTATTGATGTAAATGGAATCAATTTCATAATTAACCATTTTTGTTTTAGTGTAATTCATTGTTGGTTCTTAAATATTACTCCCTCCGTCCCAATTTGAATATTTGATGATATCATTGTGGTTTATGATTTTTTATTGACGATAAAGCAATCGGATCCGTGTTCGACTGTTCGCACTCAAATTATTTTTAGAAACTACATTAAAAGCTTTACAAAGTCCCAAATATCTGAATCAAATTTGATAAAAAATTGATATATAAAGTAAGAGATTGAGAGTGATCCATGTGAATAAGAATTGATATCATCAAATTGGGAAGAGGTAGTATAAAATTTATTTATTAGTCCCCCGTGGACTACACACTTGATGAATGATGATAATGAAATGATGTTGATGGATAATTCTGCAATTCTGCCCAAATGACCCATCTCATTCTTCCTGTTTTTTCCTGCATATTTTGCATAATGTGGAAGGGCCCTCCTTTAGCTTTGTTGCTTTCTTTTATTGCTTAACAAATACTACCTCCTAGTGGTGGACCGGTTCCGGTTTGGGCCTGTGCCCGGTCGGGCCTCGGTTCATGAAAGGGGAGGCCCGGAACCGGCCCGGGTAACCCCCGGGTCCGGGTCGGGCCTCGGTTCATGTATTTTTTTTTTTGGCTTTTCCTAATTAACCCCCAACCCTCTCCCCTTATCCCCAAACCACCTAAAATGGCCCATTATACCCGGCCCAACCCAAAAACTTAAAAAAAATTCAAAAAAAACAAAAAAAAAAAATTGGCCCGGACCGGACCCGAACCGGCCAGGCTGGTTCACTATTTAGCAGGCCCGGGCCCGAACCGCCTACCTCACCGGGCCGGGTGGCCCGAACCGGACACCAACCGGTTCACCGGGCCGGTTCGGGCCCGCACAGTAGCGGGCTGGTCCGGTTCCGGACCGGTTGGACCGGCCCGACTCCACTCCTAAGTACCTCCCTCGTCTTGTTTTGGTTTGTCGGTCTGAGACAATTATTAATTCATTCATATATACCTTCCCATCAACCTCAAGTTAATTTTGTAAACATTTATTTTTTGTTTTTATCATTTCATTTGCAAACTCAATACATTGAATTAATAATTTTTTATTTAGTCTAATAGGATCTAGCCACAATTATTATAAATAGAAACAAAGCTACTTCTTTAACAATACTATAATACTATCAGAAGGAAAAACATACATCCATGAAGTAATTTTAATTTTGATTACTACAATACTACACTGGACTAAAGAATGGTCTTGTGAGTACAATATAATTTTATTTCTTTAAAAGTTATGTAAATAAAATGCTACTTGTATAAAACATACGGAGTTTATAGAAACAAAACTAACAATTATATTTTTTGTTTTATATAGTAAAGCTAAGTTATAAAATGCTAATGCGACAGTTTCTTATTGGCTTCTAACAATAATTATTAACTTCACTTTTACAACTACTACGTATTATTTAATTTAATTCATTAAATGATGCAAATGCTTGTGCAATGTAACAAATAAGTTATACTTTTGTGCTATAACAATTAATTAATTCGCAACGTCTACACAACGTACTCATTGGTCAGACTCATCAAATCATATTGTAAATTATAGTTCAAACTAAATACCTGAACAATATGCACTCATACATAGTGTTAAAATATTATAAAAATATGATACAAAAATGATAATAATAATATACTTCCTCCGCCCCAAATCATTTTTCAAAAGTGATATATAGGTTTGAAAAAGCGTAAAATTGATCCTTCTTTGTCAATTTTTACATTAGCGATAGTAACAAAAAATATATCTTTAAATTAGATTAAAGTTCTATTGAATTGCAAACTTCAAATCTTAAAAAGAATATAACTTGATACTCAGAATTAGAGAATAAAATGATATTGTGCCAATCAAGAAAAGTAAATTTGAATATCATTTTGATACGGAATACAAATATCAAATCTACTTCAGTTTAATATTACTAGTTTCTCACCCGTGCGATGCACGGGGTGAGAGTTTTTATAGAATGAAAAAAATGAAATTGTTACTCCCTTGGTTCAATAATCAATTTATTTTTTGACTTCACACATGGATTAAAAAAGTGAAAATTGTGTGATTTAAAGTTGTACAAAGAAAATAAAATTGTTGTGAATCACATATTTTTTGCCATAAATGAATCATTGGGACATACAAAAACGTAAGATTGGAATTTAGATTGGAATGGTGGGAGACATGATATCATCTCATCATAAGAAGTAAAATGTGATAGTAATTTACTCCATGAGGAATATATCCTAAAAATTATAATTTTGTGAATTAATGAAAAAGAGAAACAACTTAATTCAATAGTAGAGATGAAACATGATTGTGATAATGAAAAATTAATGTGACATAGTCATGAAAGAGCAATATGAAAAATATGTCAAGGAAATGAAAGATGCTAAAGATTATATAATTCATTGATAAATATACATAGCCTGGGCCAATCAATTGTGTACTTATCTATCTATATACATAGTCTGGGCCATTATTTAGCACATTTTTTCTCAAATACAATCAACTTTTACTATAAAGCACTTTTCCAAAATCAATTTAAAAATGCTTCTTTAAAATAGAAGCAACCTCAAACATTCCTTTGATTATGGTTAACTTTACATTATAATGACAAAAGTTACAAATTGTAAAGATTCGAAAAAGAATTCTTTTAAAATCGTAGCTTTCAATCTATTTAATTTTTTTATTTATATAATGTCTATTCTCAATTCTCTTATCAAACTCGTAGAATCGTAGTCATTCATAGAATATAACTTAATAAAACTTTTATATTATTATTATTAATGCAAAAAATGACACAATAGCATTTTACTAAATTTTATCCCGTGCATCGCATGAGTGAGAACCTAGTTGCTACAAATGCATGAGTTAATATAACCTCTTTTAATTAGTTTTTAATTTATGAGTTATTCAGTTATTATAATCTAACAATACGTAAGTTACTATAAATATTTAAAGTTAAAACATTTGAAAGAGTTCTCAAGCAATATCAAATAGGTACATCTAGTTTAAAGTCTGGTAATGTCAAACTTGGCAGAAATTACTCTTTTTAAGAAATAAAAAACATGGTAGTCCTATTTTAGATTTTCAAAACTTTTTTACTCTTGTTTAGGGAATTTTCCCTTTTATGTTTGACATGTCATGCTATATTTTCAAACCGAGGTGTTAGAAGAGTTGAAGAAGAGTTTTATGAAAATCTAAATTCTATTGTGAGTACATTTCTTATCCGTTATTAGAGAAAATTTATTTAAATTTGTATGCATAGATCTCATGCATTATTTGATAAATACATCTATCCCATGAATGATAGTTTTTGAATTCTCAAATTAGACATATAACTTTTGGTTAAAGGGGTGCATTTTATCTTTGACGTGCTTTGTTTTTAAACCAATGTGTTAGAAGAATTGAATTAGTTTAGAGAAAATTAAGTTGAGTTTGTATGCCTAGATGTTTGAAACACTTGAAAGAGATCTCAAACAATACACAAAAAAATTATCTCACGAATGATATTTTTTGAATTCTCAAATAGAATATATAGCTTTGGTTAAAGGTCTGCATTTTTATCTTTGACATGTTCTATTTTCAAAGGTGTTAGCAGAAAAATTGAAGTGAAATTTTATCTTTAATTATGTAAAATATTTAAACTTTATTTAGTTTTACTTCAACGTGTGAACTAATATCCTGCAATTTGATCTTAATATTGAACAAATTTTCTTTCAAAAAAATATTGAACAAATTTACTCCTAATATTATTCAAAGTGTTGAAGTTTCAGAGCCTGTTTGGTAGCACGAAAATCGGCTGATTTGGATGATTATGTTGAAATTTATGAAGTTCCGGCTGAAGTGGTTGCATTGGCTGATTTTGTTGATTTAAGAAAAAAATAATTTTAAAATATATTTTATTAATAAAATAAAGAAAAAATTATATGTAAAAATAGCTAAAATGGTCATCTATAGTAACTTCAGCCAATACAGTCAGAAAAGTAACTTCAACCTTACTTTTTCTGCTTATTACAGAATTGAGAGCGCGAAAGCAAAAATTTCGTATTTGGTGAAAAAGTCAGCTGATAAGCCTGATAAGCCGAAAAACAGTGTTGCCAAACGGCCTCTCACTTAGATAGATACAACTCTTATATAAAACATATTTCATATAAAAATACACGTACATAACAGCAACATACATCAGAAAACCAGTTACGTTTATACGTTTGTGAGTGTGTCTGTAATTTTAGTGATTCAATGCCTCAACTCTAATCTTCTTTTTAGTATTTTTCTTAAAACAACACAAA